GGGGTTCGTCGCCTGCGTCCAGCTAGGACCCGCTCAATGGCGAGCTGGGATCTGGATGTGGTCTTGGCAGCTTTGACAAAGCCACCTTTTGAACCGTTGGAGTCTGCCTCCCTGAAACACCTCTCTATGAAGGTGGTTTTCTTGGTAGCGATTACTTCCATGAAGAGGGTGGGTGAGTTCCATGCTTTTTCGGTAAGTTCTGAGTGCTACCGGATGGACCCCGGTGGGAGGAGTATAGCTCTCCGCCCCAACCTATCATTCCTCCCGAAGGTTCTGTCAGACAGGCATCAGAACATCCCTTTTATCCTGTCAGTGGCGGGGGAGTCTGGCCCTCCCTCCGGCATGGTCAGTGAAAACAACAGACCAGCTCTTTGTCTGCTATGGTGAGAGAGTCCTGGGGGCTGGACTATCAAAGCAGAAGCTCTCTCACTGGATCATAGACATGATTACGACAGCATACCACCTGGCTGGCAGGCCAGTGCTGGGATCTGTGGTGGCACATTCAACACGAGGTGTGGCTGCGTCCTGGGCTCTACTGAGAGGAGTGCCCCTCGCTGATATCTGTACTGCGGCCAGCTGGGCTTCCTCTTGCACCTTTGCTAGGTACTATCGGGTAAATGTGGCACCTCCCTCTGCGGTTGGTTCAGCGGTCCTGGGCGTCGCCTCCCCTTCCACATTGACGGCCCCTGCGTCTTAGTTCTGCGCTGGGACTTCGCCGCTGGCTGGCCAGGTCCCTCTAGCACCGACTAAATCTGGTACGGGTATACCAATATATTGGAGTGATCCAATATAGTGAAACATAACGAAGGTTACGTATGTAACCACAGTTATGTGAGCTATATGGATCACTCCAATCCTCTACGGTACTAGAGGCACCTCAAAAATGATGTGCAGAACGTGTGTCTATATATAGGGGCGGACCCCAGCCGTGACACAGGTGTACACGGGAGTAAATCTGTAAATCCTCACCTCGGATGTATCCCTCCGCCGTGGAGTGATACCAATATATTGGAGTGATCCAATATAGTGAAACATAACAGCCGTTAATTGGGAGTTATCACACAAGAATCCCTGGGTTCTCATGCCTTATTGCTTAAACATAGGCCTATCTAAAAAGGCCTGTCAAAAAATGGTTCCGCCATCTCTGACTCTATATTGCATTTTGTATATTTGCGGGTTAGGGTCAAGTGCAGGCCTCAGATTTTCCCTTTATCACATTATAAGTGATATAGTCGGGCGGTTGTGGATGGGTTATTAGCAGGAATGTGCGGGTGAACACTCTATCTGCAGCCTGGTCTCATAGACTAGACGTAACATAGCAAATGTAAATCCAGGATACCAAATTAGTATGATATGTAACGTTTGGTATGGTTACATAAGACAAATGGTTACTTAAGGCAAAAAAAGAATGTAGTATGGTTGGTCAGGGTGGACGTATAACGCAAGCATCTAGCAACCCAAAGGTTGCGAGTTCGAATCTCATCACGGACAAGTTTAGCATTTTATCTAATTATCAACTTTTCAACTACTTACTACTTTTTAGCTACTTTGCAACTACTTAGCATGTTAACTAACCCTTCCCCTAACCTTAACCATTTTAGCTAACCCTAACCCTAACCATAACCCTACCCTTATCCTTTTTAGCTAACCCTTTCCCTAACCCTAACCCTAACCTTAACCCTAACCCCTAGACTAGTTAACGTTAGCCAGCTAGCTAATATAAGCCACCTAGCTAGAATTCATAACATATCATACATTTAGAAAATGTTAACATATAGAACATTTTGCAAATTCATAACATATTGTATGTTTGGTAACATATAATCCAAATTATAATTCACAACATATAGTACAAAATGGGTGATAGACATCCACAAATTAATACGTACCATACGAAACATAACAAATCAAACTAAATGCAGTGTGGTGGATTTACGTACAGAATAATACGAAATGCTCTGAGACCAGGTTGCTATCTGGGATCAAGAGCTTCAACAAATTTACAAGAGGTAAAGTGTTAGTAAGGGCAAAGTGTATTGTTGGTGTTCCTCATGTAATCAACCATCTACTACTGAAGACTCTGTGCCAGTCTGTTAGTGATGTAACCTAAATGATTGAAGACGTGACTCGAAAAACTAAACAAAAAGATTGTGTGTTGATTTGCCGCAAAACTCAAAACATCATTATATTTTAGAGAAGAAGCCACATTCACAGTCTAATCTTGCACACAAAACCAAAATGTTAAGGAAGGAAAATGTTTCGGCACATGATCTCAATTGAATTAACTGAAATGGAATTGACCCCAACTCTGGTGACCACTGTTTACACCTGATTATAGCTGTTCACCTATTGACACAGGTAATACAGTGCATTCGGAAAGTATTAAGACCCCTTGACTTTTTCCACATTTTGTTACGTTACAGCCTTATTCTAAAAAGGATTAAATAAAAACATTTCCTCAGCAATCTACACACAATACCCCATAATGACAAAGCGAAAACAGGTTATTAGACATTTTTGCATATGTATTAAAAATTTAAAACAGAAATACCTTATTTACTTAAGTATACAGACCCTTTGCTATGATACTCGAAATTGAGCTCAAGTGCATCCTGTTCCCATTGATCATCCTTGAGATGTTTCTACAACTTGATTGGAGTCCACCTGTGGTAAATTCAATTGATTGGACATGATTTGGAAAGGTACACACATACCTTCATAAGGTCCCACAGTTGACAGTGCAAAAACCAAGTCATGAGGTCGAAGGAATTGTCCGTAGAGCTCCGAGACAGGATTGCGTCGAGGCACAGATCTGGGGAAAGGTACCAAAAAATGTCTGCAGCATTGAAGGTCCCCAAGAACACAGTGGTCTCCATCATTCTTAAATAGAAGAAGTTTGGAACCACCAAGACTCTTCCTAGAGCTGTCCGCCCGGCCAAACTGAGCAATCGGGGGAGAAGGGCCTTGGTCAGGGAGGTGACCGAGAACCTGATGGTCACTCTGACAGAGCTCCTCTGTGGAAATGGGAGAACCTTCCAGATGGACATTCATCTCTGCAGCACTCCACCAATCAGGCCTTTATGGTAGCGTGGCCAGACGAAAGCCACTCCTCGGTAAAAGGCACATGACCGCCCGCTTGGAGTTTACCAAAAGGCACCTAAAGACTCTCAGACCATGAGAAACAAGAATCTCTGGTCTGATGAAACCAAGATTGAACTCTTTGGCCTGATTGCCAAGCATCACATCTGGAGGAAACCTGGCACCATCCCTACGGTGAAGTATGGTGGTGGCAGCATCATGCTGTGTGGATGTTTTTCAGTGGCAGGGACTGGGAGACTAGTCAACATCAAGGCAAAGATGAATGGAGCAAAGTACCGAGAGATCCTTGATGAAAACCTGCTCCAGAGCCCTCAGGACCTACGACTGGGGCTGAAGGTTCACCTTTCAACAGGACAACGACCCTAAACACACAGACAAGACAACGCAGGAGTGGCTTCGGGACAAGTCTCTGAATGTCCTAGAGTGGCCCAGCCAGAGCCCGGACTTGAACCCGATTGAACATCTCTGGAGAGATCTGAAAATAGCTGTGCAGCGACGCTCCCTATCCAACCTGACAGAGCTTGAAAGGATCTGCAGAGAGGAGTGGGAGAAACTCCCCAAATACAGGTGTGCCAAGCTTGTAGCGTCCTACCCGTGAAGACTAGAGGCTGTAATCGCTGCCAAAGGTGCTTCAAAAGAGTACTGAGTAAAGGGTCTGAATACTTATGTAAATGTGATATGTGGGGGTCTGAATACTTTCCTTACAACAAAATGTGGATAAAGTCAAGGGGTCTGAATACTTTCCGAATGCACTGTAGACAGGTGTGTGCCTTTCCTAATCATGTCCAATCAATTGAATTTACCACAGGTGGACTCCAATCAAGTTGTAGAAACATCTCAAGGATGATCAATGGAAACTCAATTTCGAGTCTCATAGCAAAGGGTCTGAATACTTATGTAAATAAGCAATTTCTGTTTTTTATTATTTGTCATTATGTGGTATTTTGTGTAGATTGATGAGGGAAACATTTATTGAATCTATTGTAGAATAAGGCTGTAACGTAACAAAATGTGGAAAAAGTGAAGGGGTCTGAATACTTTCCGAATGCACTGTATCTATACACGTGTCAGTGTCATGCATTTGTGTTTGTGTGTTGTGTGAGCGTCTGGTAGTACCTGTGTGTGCTTGTCTGTTTGGGGCTGTAAGACCCTCCAGACCCTAAGCACACTAGCAAACATTTATCAGGGTTCAAGGTTATTACGATGGCATCTGACACTCAGTGAGTAAGCACTTTTATAGGGCAACAACATGGGCCTTCACAATCCATAAACATGCCATCCCCATCGCTGACATGCCCTCATGGTGCGACTGCTGACATGTTGGGTATGAAGCTCAACACATTGGGGAAACTCATCCCTCAACTAGATTTTGTTTACAGTCATGTCAAAAAGTTGATTGATATGCCATCATGAAATAGCCTTCCATATCTTTCTGGTATGGGCTTCTGGTTATAAAACCATATAATAGAAGAATGATAAGTAGGCCTAGTTCTATTTCTATGAATTATAATTATTAGTTATATTTATATGGACAAACTACTGATGGAAGTTGTGGATTCACCATTTCAGCAAACTATTTAAAAAATAATCTAACCTATTTATGATATTGAACTAATGTATAGTATTTTCCATCACTTGTGGAAAAACATATTGTGCATCATTGCCAAATAGAACACACGGAGCTTAGGCTATTTAGAAAATATTTGCGCAAATGGCCGAAGTGTGGTAGTAGTATTGACTTTGCCAAAGTTTCAGAGTTCTCCCAATCATGGACTCCAGTATAGTTCAAGCGAACCGCGTCACCTTCAGTTTAGGCCGATATGTTTATTTATAAAGCATGGGGCAAGGGCACTTCCTCGGTCTATCTGGGGTCATGCGATCCTCACAATGTGGATCCATAAATGAATGGTGTGGGCTCGCCGGCCACACCATTCAAGACCGATCCCTGATTGGTTATGAATAAACACTGTCCGAGTATATATATTGTGGCAGGCGTCACAGTTCCAAGAAACTAGAACACTGAATCTTCAAAGTTTCCAACAACGCAAATAAATTAATTTGTGTTGAGCGCCAAGTGCCCCAGTATTTATTATTTATTAGCCTATCACAGCTTGAGAATGAGGTCACACATCCAAAGGGTACCACAGATAGTCGAACTGTTAAAAAAGAAAACTGTTGGTTTGCAGCACTTCAAGCCAACATCTTCAGTGTGCGTCCTGGACCCGAAGGATGCTACATTGGTTGCGCCTTGTCGACACGGTCTTCCCTCGCAGACTCAGAGCCTTGACTCGATACCTGGACCCACCAACTGGCCCTTATTTGGCAGTTTGATAGAACTACTACGCAAAGGAGGGCTGCAAAGACAACACAATGCATTGGTAAATGATAAAACAAATATTATAATGATAAGAATAATAGTATGAAGAATAGAAAAATGATTTCGACAGATGTTTTATTTTATTTCGTTTTAATAACTGATTAAATTGTTTTATTGGTGCATTAAATGTTTTGTGTCTGATATTTCTTCCTTTTAGATTGATTACCATAAGAAATTCGGTAAGATTTTCCGGATGAAACTCGGCTCCTTTGAATCGGTCCATATTGGCGCACCTTGCTTGTTGGAGGCACTCTACAGAAAGGAGAGCGCTTACCCGCAGCGTCTGGAGATCAAACCCTGGAAAGCATACCGAGACTTAAGAGACGAGGCATATGGACTTCTTATTCTGTAAGTGGCACTTTTCAGTATTCCTATGATATCATGCTATTTGCCTAACAGAAATATACAGATAATCTATTTTAACAGACGTAGCCTATAGCCTAATAATTAATATATTTCCTGCTGATTTTCAGGGAAGGGGAAGACTGGCAGAGGGTGAGAAGCGCGTTTCAGCAGAAACTGATGAAACCCACAGAAGTCGCGAAACTTGATGGAAAAATAAACCAGGTTTGTAAGATAATTTCTCTGCGGTAAAACTGCACAGTTGAAGTTGAATTTGATCAAATAATGACTTTTCATTGTCTCCAAAATGTAGGTGTTGGCCGATTTTGTTAGTAGAATTGGACAAGTGACTGACAATGGACAATTTGAGGACTTGTACTTCGAATTGAATAAATGGTCAATGGAGAGTAAGTAGCCTATTGATTATACTATACATAACATATTTCTAGCTAGATATAAATTGTTACAGTAAAGATTGTTGTTTATATGTAATTTGGATGTATTAAATCATTCGAAATATTCTAATGATCATTTAATTGTTTTAAAAAACAAAATTAAGTACAAGTCTTATAATTGATTTGTTACTGAGGAAAAGTTACATCAATAATACATGAATTCATTTTGTTAAATGTTTTCAATGGTTTGTTTATTATCTCATTACAGCCATTTGCTTAGTGCTCTACGACAAACGTTTCGGACTTCTGCATGACAATGTCAACGAGGAGGCTATGACCTTTATCACATCCATAAAGACGGTAAGTGGTCATTGATTTTACACATCCAGTTACTATTTGCATATAGTGACAAAGGTATTGTGGGCGCAGCTGAAGACCCCTGGATTGGGGATGATCTTAGTGATATTTTTGTGACATAGCTATATCGCTCTGAGTCTATAGATAGAGCGCAGTTCACCGAGTTCACTGATTGATGAATCAATATCTGAAACTGAGCACTGGGCAGGCAGAAATTTACTGGGGGAAACCAATATCTTCAGCAGCCAGGAGACATGCATGTATTTACAACATCTTTTAAACAACATTTTGTTATAGTAACCATGGTCCTGTGCTATAAATTGATATTGAAATACCTCCACAATAAATTGTTACATTTAAAGTCTCTCTCTCTCTCTCTTCCCCTCTCTCTCTCTGTGGATGTGTAGATGATGAGCACATTTGGCATGATGATGGTCACGCCAGTGGAGCTCCACAAAAAACTGAACACCAAAACATGGCAGGACCACACCAGAGCATGGGACCGTATATTCAGCACAGGTAAAAACACCTCCCTCTAAAACCTCTTCAATGCCCCCCAACTCTCGGTTCCAACTCCCCTCCCCATCCCTCTGAAGAAACCTGCCCTCCATGTCCCCTCTCTTCCCCCTGAAACCTCAATGCCCCCTGATCTCGCTCCCAAACACCACTAAAGCAACCCCATCGCACCTAACCACCACTAAAGCAACCCCCCCACCCCACCCTGCTCTCACTTTCAACTGCCCTACCTCTAAGTAACCTCCTCTCCATGTCCTCTCTCCCCCTGTTGAAATCTCAATGCCTGCCACGTTCACTTCCAACCCCTCCCTTGGCACCCCCCAATCCCTCCACTCACAGCATGTGCTCCGCAGCTCTTTCTCTAGAGGAAGTATGACCCAATAACCACTTTGAACACATTTCCAGTCAGGTGATAGGAGAGAGAGAGATATGAACCGGGTGCCTCTGCGATCAGTGCTGCTTGCTTGGCGGTGGCTTGTAGGCACATGTCCACCCTCTCTTACACACACACACACACACACACAGAGTGTGAATTATACCGTGACATTCGGGGGGGGGGGGGGGGGGGGCTCTATTGTGTGTGTGGTGTGTGTGTGGTGTGTGTGTGTGTGTGTGGCCTTAAGGCCTAATTGTAAAGACATGTAATTTAATGGTAAAATGAAGAATTTTAAATGTGGCATGAACACAACCTGTCCAGATGTTTTCATCTGATTGTCAAACAAATCACTTCAAAAAGTAGGCTACCTGCGCACGTTCAGTCCACTCAAATAATTCCAGCATCCAATCAAAAGCACAAAGTGTAATGACATTTGGCGATCGTCATTAGAACTTCACTCTTGTAGCCTGAATTAATTGATACACCTTGCTGACAGAAAGAAAAAAAAAAGTCGGTTCAGATGAAAAGGTGCTGAAATACGGGATTGTCCCGGGATGATAAATGCAGCCACATGGGATTATTTATTTTTTTACCATAGAGGTGGGCTGTATCGCATTAGTGGATACTCACACTGCTCTCAGGGCAGGTCTGCTGGTTTTGAATAGCAGAAGTGACTTTTCATAGCAGGTTAAGAGTACTTACGCAGCAGGTTAGGGTAATTAACATGGTAGGTTAGGAGAATGAACGTGGCATGTTAGCAGAATTAGGTTAAGGTTAGGAAAGGGGTTAGGGTTAGCTAAAATCCTAAAATTGTCCCTGACGTGATTCGAACATATCTAGCTACAACCAGTCCAGTCCTGAGAACAGTCTTCGTTTCCACTAACGTTTGATTTGGAAAAAGCTTTTATTTTAATATTTACCATTGTAGCAGTTCAAAATAGCATTTTAAATAAAAAGAAGAATGGTTAAATTAGCATTATTTAGACTTTTTGACTTTTGTTGCATTTAAGGGGGCTCATCGCTCATTCCCAACCTGTAAACAGTGGCCATGTATGTTGTGCTCGTGGCCAGATTCTGGAGATAAAAGATGGTTGAGGGCTTTTGAAAGTAGCGATAGGGAGTGGAAGTGAGTTCATTTTATGGCTTGTTTACTATAGATTACTTGTTTATAGAAATTTATAATTATCATTGTTTTATGACTGGTTTCAGCTTTCCACAAATGGAATCCATGTTTTGGTGAATAAAGTTGACCATTAGAATGGCTTTAAAAATGGACTATATGCAAAGTCATTGTTACCTAGTCTTTTTTTTTACATCTTTCAGTTCATTATTTCACGTTTGTCTCTTGTTGTTGTCCCCAGCCAAAGTCTACATAGACAAGAAGATAAAGCGCCATGCAGGGGCAACAGGGCCCAGTGACGACTTCCTGAGTGACATCTACCGCCACAGTCAGCTGTCCAAGAAAGAGCTGTACGCCGCCATCACAGAGCTCCAGATCGGAGGAGTGGAGACGGTAAGGATAAGTTGACAAATGTAACAGAGATGGTTCAGTGAACCACGCTCGCATGATGAGTATCCTTACTAATAATTTAGCATCACAACACTGAAGTGTGATGGGCCTCCATTTTTTTCCGGTGAACTGTGATGAGTAACATTGCTTGTCACCCGAAGACTTGCTTTATGCCTAGGCTTTAGCTTAGCGGGCTAACACAGTCTTGAGACCCGGGTTTGAATCTTGGTCGTTCAAACAAGGATAGGGCCAGATGTATCATTCAATTGCACAAGTGCCTATTTTGCTCCTCTATTTTCAGAAAAATAAGAGGGGAAAACATTACACTTAATCCTTTATTGTTGTTGACTTCATTCCTTACTCCCATACGTTGTTTGAACTAATTTACTCTACACTTGAAGTGGTATTCCCTCCCTGTGAGAGAAGAAACAAACAGGTGCAAACTGTAGTAGTAGTGGTTCAAAGGCTAAGGAAATCTGGTCTGCAGTCCGGATGTGACAGAAACAGCCCTTGAGGAACCCGTCACATTCCTCAGCTCCATTTACTGCAGTTTATAGTATCTCTCTGAATGAGTCTGACAACTCTCCCCTCTCGCGCTCTCTTTCTCTTCCTCTGCTGATGTTTTCTAGACTGCCAACAGCATGCTGTGGGCTATTTTCAACCTCTCCCGTAACCCCTGCGTTCAGAGGAAGCTGCTCCAAGAAATCAGAGAGGTTCTTCCTGCCAGTCAGACTCCCAGTGCTGAGCACCTCCAGAGAATGCCCTACATCAAGGCCTGCCTCAAGGAGTCCATGAGGTACAGTAAGACATTACACTGGAATGTGACGCAAAGACAATAACACTGTAGTCACGAACTGCACTGTATGTCACTCAAACCGGTACACAAGTCCAAAACAAATTAGTCGAGGCATGGGCGCTTGACTTTGTCTGAAAGTGGGGGTGCAAAAAACACCAATAATAATTTGAATGAAACAAACAAAAGAACTAAAATTTAGTTGCAATTTTTTAACAATTTCCTGCAATTCTACACTGTTTCTTCACAGGGGGAACAGAACACAAAACATTTTCTTAGGTTCTGCCTTAATAAATTATATTGAACTCAAGTACTCAAATAATTTAATTTTTTTTAAATTTAGAACACAAGGCCGGTAAAAAGTTATACATTTATCTAGGCCTATTTGCCAACAGTGTGCAACAATGCCAAATGTATCATAACCATTCAAGATAACAAATCCTAATTGCTAAATTGCCCCATATATATTCAGTCAATAAAAAAACAAGTGCCATTTAAGATTGACTTATTGAAACCATAATATCAACTAGTTATATTATATTGTGGAACACAATCTTCAAAAAGGCAGTAACCTCAGCAGTGGAGCTTGCTTGTAGAAGACTATGGCTCTGCAATGGAATTGCCTTGTTTTGTTAATTTAGCAGACAATAAACTTTTATTTCCCGAGCCCTTATCACAGTCATCACACACCTATTTTATAGTAAAAAAAAAAAAGTAAGTAATATGTCAGAATAAAATAGAACAGAATATTTTTCCAAATGAAAAAAGTTGGCAGTGTGAAGTGATGCGCATCTCGCATCTAGAACAGTTATTCTCAAAGAGTGATCATTTGAAACAGGGCTCAATTTGGTGAGTTGAAAGAAAAACATTTCAGGGTTACAAACCAAAATCGGTCTTTGATATACAGACGTTCGATTTACAAGTGTTTCTCGAGTTTAATGCGGAAAGTCACGCAGGGAATGTTTAGGATGTTTGACAGGGGATTAGTTATATTTCCTTTCAACTTGCCTTTTAAAAATGGTTTGAGTATGTTTAACTGATCCTAAAGAGCTTATATGTACATGTATCCTCCTGCTTCAACACTATATTCCCAAACACTTTTTTCAAATTCCTGCAGGTTATCGCCGTCAGTTCCCTTCACGAGTCGGACCTTAGACAAAGACACTGTGTTGGGGGATTACTCCATTCCCAAGGGGGTAAGTGGATTACTTCAAATTCCCTCATTTAATAGCTCATGTTGGGGCGATTACAGTCTCGGATCAATTCACACGTACATTTTGATTGATGTCTAATCAAGATTTTTGTTTTTCCTTTGCAGACAGTGTTGATGATCAACAGCCACGCTCTGGGTGCCAATGAGGAGTACTTTGACGACAGCAGCCGGTTTAAGCCAGAGCGTTGGCTAAAAGAGAGCAGCACCATCAACCCCTTTGCCCATGTGCCGTTTGGTATTGGGAAGAGGATGTGCATTGGGCGGCGTCTGGCAGAGCTACAGCTGCAGTTGGCACTCTGCTGGGTAAGAACAACCTCATGTGCCCCCAAAGTGGCCACCAAGTTGCCAACATGGGAGTATCACCGCAGGTAGTGCTGAACACCTGTGGGCGATATACAGTATATTACTCCCTCTTCCTGTGTCAAGTTTAAATGTATACAGTCCCTTCCCACATTTTGTTGTGTTATAGCCTGAATTTAAAATGGATTGCATTTATATTTTGTGTCACTAGCCTACACACAATACCCCAATAATTATGTTTTTAGAAATTGTTACAAATTAATTAAAAATGAAAAGCTGAAATGTCTTGAGTCAGTAAGTTTTCAACCCCTTTGATATGGCAAGCTTAAATAAGTTCAGGAGTAAAAATCTGCTTAACAAGTCACATAAGTTGCATGGACTCACTCTGTGTGCAATCATAGTGTTGAACATTATTTTTTTATGACTACCTCATCTGTGTACAACACACATACAATTATCTGTAAGGTCCCTCAGTCGAGCAGTGAATTTCAAACACAGATCCAATGGCTCACAAACAAGGGCACCTATTGGTAGATGGGTAAAATAAAAAACAGACATTGAATATCCCTTTGAGCATAGTGAAGTTATTAATTACACTTAATGGTGTATCAATACACCCAATCACTACAAAGATACAAGCATCCTTCCTAACTCATTTACCGGAAAGGAAGGAAACCACTCAGGGATTTCACCATGAGGCCAATGGTGACTTTAAAACAGTTTAATGGCTGTGATAGGAGAATGAGTGACCTAAATGACAGAGTGAAAAGAAGGAAGTCTGTTCAGAACAAAACTATTCCAAAACATGCATCCTGTTTGCAATAAGGCACTAATGTAAAACTTTCTTTAGGATAAAAATAAACTGAATAGAGCTAAGCACAGGCAAGAACCTTGAGGAAAACCTGGTTCAGTCTGTTTTCCAACAGACACTGGGAGACAAATTCACCTTTCAGCAGGACAATAACCTAAAACACTACGCAAAATATACACTGGAGTTGCTTACCAAGAAGACATTGAATGTTCCTGAGTGGCCTAGTGACAGTTTTGACTTAAACCGGCTTGAAAATCTATGGCTAGACTTGAAAATGGCTGTCTGGCAATGATCAACAACCAACTTGACAGAGCTTGAAGAATTGTAAAAAATAATAATGTGCAAATATTGTACAATACTGGTGTGCAAAGCTCGTAGAGACTTACCCAGAAAGACTCACAGCTATAATCGCTGCCAAAGGTGATTCTCAGGGGTGTGAATGCTTATGTAAATGAGATATTTCTGTATTTAATTTTCGATATTTTTGCTAAAATTTCTAAAAACATGTTTTCACTTTGTCATTATGGGGTATTGTGTGTAGATGGGTGAGAAGAAAAATCTATTTAATTCATTTTGAATTCAGGCTGTAACACAACAAAATGTGAAATAAGTCAAGGGGTATGAATACTTTCTGAAGGCACTGTATAACCTTAAGTTCCAAGAAGACTTTGTCCAACAATGTGTGTTAACCTTGAAAAATATTTTTGTGTCACCATGTGAGTCTTACCTCAATTGATACTGGTTGTCCTTTCTAATGATTTGGTTGTCATAATCTAATGATTTCTCCCTTTCCCCCCCTTTCTATCAGGTCGTCAGAGATTATGAAATTGTGGCGACAGATAGTGAACCAGTTGATACTATCCATTCGGGGACGCTAGTTCCCAACCGTGAACTCCCTGTGGCTTTCATTAGACGATGAGGTAAGAATAACATTCACTCTTGAATATACCAAAAAATCATCCATATACTGAAGCTTAAATCAGAGTAAAGACAAATATATATATATATATATATATATATATATATATATATATATATATATATATATATATATATATATATATATATAATAGTGCCTTCGGAAAGTATTCAGACCACTTGACTTTACAGCATTATTCTAAAATTGATTCAATAAATAAAAATCCTCAGCTATCTACACACAATACCCCATAATGACAAAGCAAACGCAGGTTTTTAGAAATGTTTGCAAATGTTTTAAAAATAAACAACAGAAATACCTTATTTATATAAGTATTCAGACCTTTTGCTATGAGACTTGAAATTGAGCTCCGGTACATCCTGTTTCCATTGATCATCCTTGAGATGTTTCTACAACTTGATTGGAGTCCACCTGTGGTAAATTCAATTGATTGGACATGATTTGGAAAGGCACACACCTGTCTATATAAGGTCCAACAGTTGACAGTGCATGTCAGAGCAAAAACCAAGCCATGAGGTCGAAGGAATTGTCCGTAGAGCTCAGAGACAGGATTGTGTCAAGGCACCGATCTGGGGAAGGGTACCAAAAAATGTCTGAAGCATTGAAAGTCCCCAAGAACACAGTGGCCTCCATCATTCTTAAATGGAAGAAGTTTGGAACCACCAAGACTCTTCCTAGAGCTGTCCGCCCGGCCAAACTGAGCAATCGGGGGAGAAGGGCCTTGGTCAGGCAGGTGACCAAGAACCCGATGGTCACTCTGACAGAGCTCTAGAGTTCCTCTATGGAGATGGGAGAACCTTCCAGAAGGACAACCATCTCTGCAGCACTCCACCAATCAGGCCTTTATGGTAGAGTGGACAGACGGAAGCCTCTCCTCAGTAAAAGGCACATGACAGCCCGCTTGGAGTTTGCCAAAAGGCACCTAAAGACTCTAAGACCATGATAAACAAGATTCTCTGGTCTGATGAAACCAAGATTGAACTCTTTGGCCTGAATGCCAAATCAAATCAAATCAAATGTATTGGTCACATACACATGGTTAGCAGATGTTATTGCGAGTGTAGCGAAATGCTTGTGCTTCTAGTTCCCACATCTAGCAAGTAATATCTAACAAGCGTCACGTCTGGAGGAAACCTGGCACCATCCCTACGGTGAAGCATGGTGGTGGCATGATCATGCTGTGGGGATGTTTTTCAGCGACAGGGACTGGAAGACTAGTCAGGATCGAGGCAAAGATGAACGGAGCAAAGTACAGAGAGATCCTTGAGGAAAACCTGCTCCTGAGCTCTCAGGACCTCAGACTGGGGCGAAGGTTCACCTTCCAACAGGACAACGACCCTAAGCACACAGCCAAGACAACGCAGTAGTGGCTTCAGGACAAGTCTCTGAATGTCCTTGAGTGGCCCAGCCAGAGCCCGGACTTGAACCCGTTCGAACATCTCTGGAGAGACCTGAAAATAGCTGTGCAGCAACGCTCCCCATCCAACCTGACAGAGCTTGAGAGGATCTGTAGAGAAGAATGGGAGAAACTCCCCAAATACAGGTCTGCCAAGCTTGTAGAGTCATACCCAAGAAGACTCGAGGCTGTAATCACTGCCAAAGGTGCTTCAACAAAGTACTGAGTAAAAGGTCTGAATACTTATGTAAATGTGATATTTCCGTTTTATTTGTACTTTCTATTAGCAAAAATTTCAAAAATCCTGTTTTTGTTTTGTCATTATGAGGTATTGTGTGTAGATTGATGAGGGGGAAAAAAACAATTTCATCAATTTTAAAATAAGGCTTTAATCTACCAAAATGTGGAAAAAGTCAAGTCTGAATACTTTCCGAATGCACTGTATATACATATATTTATACATACACACATACACATACATATATATATATATATAAAAATACACAGTGTGGGAAAAAAGTATTTGATCCCCTGCTGATTTTGTACGTTTGCCCACTGACAAAGAAATGATCAGTCTAGAATTTTAATGGTAGGTTTATCTGAACAGTGAGAGACAGAATAACAACAAAAAAATCCAGAAAAACACATGTCAAAAATGTTATAAATTGATTTGCATTTTAATGAGGGAAATAAGTATTTGACCCCTCTGCAAAACATGACTTAGTACTTGGTGGCAAAACCCTTGTTGGCAATCACAGAGGTCAGACGTTTCTTGTAGTTGGCCACCAGGTTTGCACACATCTCAGGAGGGATTTTGTCCCACTCCTCTTTGCAGATCTTCTCCAAGTCATTAAGGTTTCGAGGCTGACGTTTGGCAACTCGAACCTTCAGCTCCCTCCACAGATGTTCTAAGGGATTAAGGTCTGGAGACTGGCTAGGCCACTCCAGGACCTTAATGTGCTTCTTCTTGAGCCACTCCTTTGTTGCCTTGGCCGTGTGTTTTGGGTCATTGTCATGCTGGAATACCCATCCACGACCCATTTTCAATGCCCTGGCTGAGGGAAGGAGGTTCTCACCCAAGATTTGACGGTACATGGCCCCGTCCATCATCCCTTTGATGCGGTGAAGTTGTCCTCTCCCCTTAGCAGAAAAACACCCCCAAAGCATAATGTTTCCACCTCCATGTTTGACAGTGGGGATGGTGTTCTTGGGGTCATAGGCAGCATTCCTCCTCCTCCAAACACGGCAAGTTGAGTTGATGCCAAAGAGCTCCATTTTGGTCTCATCTGACCACAACACTTTCACCCAGTTCTCCTCTGAATCATTCAGATGTTCATTGGCAAACTTCAGCTGGGCATGTATATGTGCTTTCTTGAGCAGGGGGACCTTGCGGGCGCTGCAGGATTTCAGTCCTTCACGGCGTAGTGTGTTACCAATTGTTTTCTTGGTGACTATGGTCCCAGCTGACTTGAAATCATTGACAAGACCCTCCCGTGTAGTTCTGGGCTGATTCCTCACCGTTCTCATGATCATTGCAACTCCACGAGGTGAGAACTTGCATGGAGCCCCAGGCCGAGGGAGATTGAGAGTTATTTTGTGTTTCTTCCATTTGCGAATAATCGCACCAACTGTTGTCACCTTCTCACCAAGCTGCTTGGCGATGGTCTTGTAGCCCATTCCAGCCTTGTGTAGGTCTACAATCTTGTCCCTGACATCCTTGGAGAGCTCTTTGGTCTTGGCCATGGTGGAGAGTTTGGAATCTGATTGATTGATTGCTTCTGTGGACAGGTGTCTTTTATACAGGTAACAAGCTGAGATTAGGAGCACTCCCTTTAAGAGTGTGCTCCTAATCTCAGCTCGTTACCTGTATAAAAGACACCTGGGAGCCAGAAATCTTTCTGATTGAGAGGGGGTCAAATACTTATTTCCCTCATTAAAATGCAAATCATTTATAACATTTTTTACATGTGTTTTTCGGTTATTTTTTTGTTGATATTCTGTCTCTCACTGTTCAAATAAACCTACCATTAATTATAGACTGATCATGTATTTGTCAGTGGGCAAACGTACAAAATCAACAGTGGGTCAAATACTTTTTTCCCTCACTGTATATATATATGTACACTGTATATATCATATCTCAAATGAATATAACACACACACACACACACTTGTTGAATAAACACCGTCTGGAATGCGGTTTTAACCAATCAGCATTCAGGATTAGGCCCACCCGTTGTCTAAACACACAATACATAACGTTAAAAAGGTACATTCAACTCCCAAAAAGTAAGGAAACATATTAGCAGGCTGTGAAATGTTATATTTGATTCCATGTGTTATTTTTTCCTAAACAGGCTTCAAATACAGATCATTCAGACCTCACAACAGAAAGATAATAGTTCTGGGCCTGAACGTCCAGAGAGACTCCCTATATTGCTGCTCTGTAAATAACAAAGAGAAAATATCAGATATAAATATATTTTTATGTAATCCTGTCACATATACCTCAAACTAATATAAATGTATTTAAACTATTAACTATGAGAGTTAGCCTACTTGTTGACCAATAACTGCACTTTACTGCCCACTAATCTTAAACAACTGTTCTTATGTCGAAAATATTAATTAAATTATGACGTTTGTATATGTTGTGTCTTTGTATGATAAATTATATACAGTACATGTATAAAGGCTACTTATGTATATTTTGTGTATAAATTGCAATAATAGTGTCAACATGATGTACATTTAAAACATTGTATTTCTTAGAGAGATTATATTCAAATAAAACTAAATATATTTCATCCACTTTTTGTTTTTGTTGCAGTATTTTCAATGTTTGACATTTAAGTTACTTTGTGGAATATGATTTAAGATTAATACAACTGTATCATGGCCACACACAGAAGATAAGGACCTAATGATGTATGGCTTTGGTATATCATAGTAATCAAGTGTTATTTGCATGTGATAATGTCATGGAATGCTCCATGGTAATCTTACCGGCTCTTGTGCTCAGCTCAGGGCTCCTATTCAGTCAAACCTGCATTAGCAATAGCTACCTCAACTATCCACACACCATAGTACGGCTAGTCTTATAACAAAAAATATCATAGAGATAAAAAGTAATGTCCACTGCCCCCCTCTGCCATTCAGTGTTCTGCTACAGTCGTCTTTAATATTACAAGTAGCTGTAATGGTAATAGATGGGTATAATATGAACCTATTATAATATAGATTTCATAAATGTACTTAACTGTAAATGTTTAGGATTTTTTACTAATCTGGTATCAATTGTCTGAAATACATAATCTCCTGAAAAAGTGTTAACATTGTTAATTTCTGCTTTGGGAATTTAGTGTATTTGAGGGAGCATACTGTAACGACCCTGGGTTTATAAGCGCGGATATCGACTCCGCCACGGGAGCATGCTTTTGGGGCACAGTCGATGGCGCGCTGGACTTCGGGCTAGAAGGTTGAGGGTTCGAGACGTGCTCCCTGCCAGTTTCATTACATAGCATTTGCATATAGCATTTGCATGTATCTTACTGATTTAACATCTTATGAAAAGAGGGGAGAGAGGTAAAATCACCAGTGTTAAATGAACAGTGTCAAAAGTGATCGACTCCCATAGAGTTGTTTTAACAACTGGCAGTGCCAAATGACCCCTAGCGTCAGTGCTGATAACTGGTGTTAATTGCTAAGGTATAACATTTTACTCTATCAGTGTAGACTTTTACTCAGTAAGTGTAAACATCATCACAACCCCGCCCACAAATTCAGTTTCTGCCGTTAAAATTTCCTCTTTTCTCGACGCCATTGTTGGATCAACAAAATCCTAATTTGTTCCACACAAAGGTGAGTTTTAAACAATTATTTAACTGATATTATTTTGCTATTTTAATTTAAATACTTGATACTTGGTTGTCAGACTGCAGTGTAACATAAAACGTCTAACAGTTTTGATTGTGTGTGTGCAGCTAACGTAAGAGTTACTTGCGTTCCACTTTTTACACGTTTTTGCTAGATAGCTAGCATGCTAGCTAACTAGCTCGCCCCTGTCCCGTGCAGTTAGTTTGCTGCACTTGGTGGTTTCATGGGCGCGTCTCATTTCAGCACCAAGCTTTTTCAGCCTCATGTTAGTTTGTTCTCTTTATTTCAGCTGCTTACTATATATTGAGGACTAATCAGATTAAGGTGAGTTGTTTATTTAGCCATATTATAACAGAATTTTCGACTTGTGGGTGATGCTTTTAGATAAATATTGTGGCCATTGCATCGGCAGCTAGCTAGTCTAGCTAACTGCGTTTCCCACTCGCTTAATCACCAGTTCATTTTGGCGGTCTTGTAAGACTGCTCCTAGAACATGACAACATACTACAGTGTCTAGCTGGAATTATGAGTGTATTTTACTGGACTAATTAGCCCGTGTCCATATTCAACCCTGAAATTCAATGCTGAACAAAAATATGTCAAGATCATTGACCTGACACTTGAAAACCTTTTGATTGGAGGCAGTGGCGGCTCCTGAAAAAATTCTCAGGGGGGGCAATTTTTCTGATGATTTAGGTGACCTACACACATTTTAAAAAAGATATGTCCAGCAACAACATGAAGACAGGGGCAGCATATAAGTCAATACCAGAAGCATTTATTGACTGATCTCAAAAGTGTTGGCTTACCAGGGTTGGTGGAGCCCTCAGTTTCATCTTTGCCTCGCAAAGCTAACTCAAACACGCCGCAAAACTTCACACACTGGATTAGCCGGCTGAGGATGTGGCGGTTCTTGCTAATGTCGTAGTAAATATATTTGTTATAGTGAATATGGAATATGATATGTTGAGTAAAATGTTGTGCTAAGATCTATTTAGGTCAGGAGCTGGTTATAAGTTCTGTTCCTATCCAATAACAATGGACAAAAGGGTCCTATCTTGTCAGCCTTGTCAGCAGGTGGCCAAGGACAACACCCACGCCATAGGCCTCTCAGTTCTTCCAACTCACGAGTTCTTGCTCTGAGGACACACACACACAAACACACACACACACACATCATCACTGTTAAACACACACACACACACACACACACACACACATCATCACTGTTAAACACACACACACACACACACACACACACACACAAAAATCCCCTCTCTTAGGCTGAACATTTGAAGACAGAGAACCCGACTCAGAGCCAATGCAACAGTGACAGTAGCCTGGAGGGGACCTCGCCCAACTCATCAGGACCAATCAGAAGATCAGAACTACTAGATTCAACCTACTTCATTTATTGCATAAAATGTCAGCACACAATGTTTCGGGGCTCTCTTCAGATAATAATAATAATAATAATAATATGCCATTTAGCAGACGCTTTTATCCAAAGCGACTTACAGTCATGCGTGCATACATTTTTGTGTATGGGTGGTCCCGGGGATCGAACCCACTACCTTGGCGTTACAAGCGCCGTGCTCTACCAGCTGAGCTACAGAAAGTGGATACTCATGGATGCGCATCGCAATTGTAAAATGTCAACACAATTGGAGACACCACGTCATTTTTGGAGACATGTTATTGACAGTAAACTATTGTAGATGCGACTGCTAACTAAATAAAACATTTTAGCTGGCTAGCTAATCATCTTAGCTAAATGTGGGGCAAACAATTCAGTTATTTACCGTTAATTTGAGGGATTGGGGTGAAAGAAATCGAGTTACATAGTGATACTTTACGATATACTGTATTGACAATATCGCAATATTTTAGCGCTAGTTGGCTGTACCTGCACCAAAACACCATTATTGTTCCTTCATAGCTTGTTCTCAATCTTTTCACATTGGGAGCCAATTTGTTTTCAGCACTTTTATTTCCATGACTGATCAAAACTCGTTCTCATGGCTTTCTGATCCCTCTGCAACAGACATATGGTGCGCAATAAAATCACAGTATCGAATCGCAATACGTATAGAATCATGAGACTCGCAATGCTGATGCATATATCTTATCGTGAGGTTCCTGGCAATTCCCAGCCCAAGTTCATTTGCCACAACAAATCTCTTCGCTAGCAAACGCGATGTCTTCTCCAAAACGGCAATGTGTCTCCAGCAATGTTTACTTTTTTGACGTTCTATGGCATCTCCACTTTCCAAGCATATATGACCACATGTAATATTTTGGTAAGTGATGCAAATAGTGAACTATGTAGGGCCAGGATGTAAAATATATGTAGCTGCAGCAATTTCTCTTATCTGATATGGTAAGTAATGGGGCTTAATTTATAGCTCCCTAAGAGTTTGACGAACGGGTCCGTGCACGCGATTCCAGATATCTTTACCTCTGAATAAACTGCCTTTATTATACCATATCCACCCTGTCCAAAGTCTCTACTTGGTCTCAGTTCTCCAGTAAACTTGTGATTATCAACACTAACCTCATCGTTGTGGCGGCGGACAGCTAGCCTGTATCCCTCATCAAGTTGAGTGGCAATGTTATTTTTCCGTTCGTACCAATTTTTGGAAAATCCTCGGGTGTAGGACTTTCCGCCTTTAGTAGAAACCTGTTGAATTATTAAATTTGGTCTGGGAGGTCCTAATTGTTTCGTTGCCAATTTATCTTCATTTGTTCGCCGACAAAAAGGAACTTCTTTCAAAGACACAATCCGCTCTTTTCTCAGTTACGTTCATGGTTACGTTACGTTACGTATGACGAAAGCGCGTAAGTGCAAGCCCTCAGACACCCATAGAGATTGTATTGAAGGCTCTGAAATTTGAAAAAAATAGATTTTACATTAGAGGCTATGAGAGACTTCTGGGCGATTTTCAACCTGACTGAAATCGCCCCAAAAGGGGGGGGGAGCCATTTGAAGCACGACTTTAGCCTGATTCGACATTTAGTGGCAGTGTGGCACTGTGGCAGATCAGACGTATAGATTACAACACTGATAACTACTGTTGCCGTGATATAATTGATTAGAAAAAAAATCCCTTCCTTTTCCCGTTTGGCAGTGCGTCGCCCATATCGCCCTATTGAACAGGCCGCCCCTGATTGGAGGTAAACATTTAATTTGTGATTGGAAATAAATGTATTGTTTTCATACATTTACAAGTCCGTCTGATTACTCTTACCATTACGATTGCAATTCTAATTGTAGGTTGTTGTTTTAATGTTTGTCACAGAGACTCACGGGTAAGTTTAAGGGAAAGATTCATAAGGAAACTTGTTGAGCTTTACTTGCTCCCATATCTGCTGAATGTTAAAAATGACTTCTGTATCAGTATCTCAGTCACATAATTGGTTAGTCTACTGCTGACCATCCACTGCTATTGGTAGAAGATGTATCTTGTATCAAACTCGATGGCCATGATACTGCTTAAAAAATCACTCCTGATTTTTAGCTGACTGGGGACCAATGCTGCTTGTGGAGATTCTGATTGCCGCCTAAACATAATATTATATTCTTGTCAAGACATCACCACCGCGCAGTGTGAGAGAAACGTTTGCACAAGGAATCGTCTCCTTGTTCCCATACCTGAAGGATCCCTACACCGCAAATGGATATGACAAAGGGCATCTGCGTTTAATTAGTCTGGTATGGTATCTGAGCAAATGGGTTATGGTTATTTCTTTTTTTCTTTTAAAATTAGTAACCATGTTCATTTTCTTAAGGAACATTATTATGACCCTAATAGTGGAGAAGGGTACCTCTCGTATAGAATCAAAACCGTTCAGAGAAAATTGGCTTAATCTGAGAAACTCAACTATACTCTGGAGGGCCAACTGCTGAGAGGGAGTCCAGTCCATCCACTTTGGTT